TGGTGGTAGTCTATCATCTAAAACTCGTAGCAAATTCGCAACTTTTGTCTCAATTAGCATGTCATGGCAATCATTTATTAGCGAGTAGCAGGGGGGGGGGGGGGGGGGGGGGTTGTAGGGGGTTACCTTATTTTGAGAGAGTGGTTAGAGGGAATGGCTTATCACATATTGAGGGGGTTGAGAACTTTTGCAGGATATGACAAAAGGGGGGTATGCAATTGTTACCTCTACCATGGAGGAGGGTTTGGATTATGTTTGTAAAGCGCTCATGTGACTTTGCCGACCCCCACCCATGTGCTAATAAATGAAAGCCCCCTAAGCAGCAATTTTTTTTACCCWTTGAACATTTTTTTTCAGTGCTTTTCACTTGATTCACTCCTGGACGTATTCAGCATTGACCATTCTGTTGGTGCAAGCAAAAGTTCTTTTACAGAACTTTGTCCTGCTCTTATACAACAAGTACAAAGTGGCTCATGTACAGCAAAAAAAAGCCAGACGAAATCCACTGTTAGTGATCTTTCTAAAGGTGAGAACTCAGTTCTTATATAGTGAACTCCACAGTTTGATAAGTAAATGGTTTTAATTAACACGAGCTCCTTTCTTGGGAGAACTGGGCAACCACCTGTACAAAACTTTTGAAGTAAAATAAATTGCCTTTAGGACATTTGTAGGCATTGTTCATGCTCAGCCTTTCTACGCATGAGTTTAGTGTGCATGCGCTYATCCTGTTGACGTCATTCAAATATTGTGATGGGTAATCACCCACCATTTCCCCCTCCACCCATCTCCCCATCTCAGCACTTCCCTTGTATGGGCACCTCTTTCAATGTAATGGCACAAAAAGTTGAGACAAAAATTTTGTCTGTTTATAATTACAATTCATGTGAATGAACGATTGTTTTACTTAATGATTTCAGTGTGGGGGTATGGTTTTCTCTCCGTGACCATAATCAGCTTGGCGTCTCTTGTTGGTGTTGCTACTATTCCATTTGTTGGTAGAACTATGTATAAAAAAGTTCTGGCATTATTGGTGGCACTGGCTGTAGGAACGCTTGCTGGTGATGCAACTCTTCACCTTATACCTCACGTAAGTCAAAGATTGTATTCCAAAGCAATAGAGGCTTTGCACCATCACGTGCCCATCCCATAATACTGTTTGGGCGTCCTGTGGTTAGATGGCAGAACAATAAAATCCCTTTGCTCTTGGGAATTTGATTCTTTCTTATTTACTACCATTTGCATTGCTAGGCGGCCACCCCAGACAAAAAATGTGACTTGCACTTTGCAATAGACTGCCGTCAATCAAACACGTTGACATCATTTACACTCGTGTGTGATTCAAAATGCACCAAAACTTGTTGATTGTTTACAAGTATTATGATCCACACTCACCGGGCCTATCCCGGCTGATCCCATTGAGTGTAAATGAGGTCAACGTGTTTGATTGACGGCAGTGTATTGCAAAATGCACGTCACGATTGTGGCCGCGTAACAATGCAAATGGCGGTAAAACGACTGTATTTTTCCTGGCCATCTAACATGGCTGCCATCACGTGGTGGTGCAAAACCTCTATAAACCTCTATTTCTCTTAAAGTCCGCTAGGAACAATGCAGGCTCTAATTTGTGGTTGAACTTGTTGATAATTAAACTACAGTACAATCAAAAATTATGTGTGAAGGCATCAATGCAAGTCCTACCTTGACATGGAGCCATTGTTACATGGTCACTTGAGCAAATTTAGGAGGTCTGGTCAATTAATCATTAGATTTATTCTTACCATGCATAGCAAGAAACAAATAATGTAATTTATTTATGCACTTAAAAAGTGTGAGAAACACTTGACACCTACAGATTTTGCTTTGCTTTACACTTCTTTCATACTTACATGTCACTTCCTGCATACTGAACAGAGTATAGACAAATAGTCATGTATTATTATTGTCTAGCTGATATATAAGTTGTCACTGTAGCAAAACTTATACTGGGTTTCTTGTTGTTTTTTTTAAATAATATTATAATGCAGGCTTTAGGTCTTCACCAACACGAAGAAGGAGAGGAAGAACCTCATAGTGAAGACATAAGTAAAAGTTTCCTATGGAAGGCGGCTGTCATCCTTGCTTCTATTTATTTCTTCTACCTCTTTGAAGTACTGATGCATTTTGGGCTCAAAAATAAACACACCCATAGCCATGTTGATTTAGAGGTAAGGTATAATTATTATACTAGTTTCTATGGCTTTATCAGGAAAATCCAATCAACCCATATTTGCTTGACTTAGTGAATCCTCTTTGGAGAGAATTGAGGGTCTAATAGGACTTTAGCAACAAAAAGTCACGTGCCGATATATGACTTTGATAACGAATCAATCCAGCTCAAGGTCCCTTGGGGAAGGCTTAGCTGGATGGCAAACAAACTTTAAACTGCTTCGTATCATGAAATTGAAAGTATCAGATTCTCATAAGGAAAAAGTTTTTGGATACGACATTAGTAATCCAGCAAAAAATCTTTAAATAAAGGAAGCCCACATTTTTTTGCCATCCAGTTAACAATCATGTGTCAATCTATTGCAAAAGGCTTATTAGGAAGTAATGCACATGTATTCCAGCTGAGTTGACATTCAGAATGAACTCAACCTTTTTTGAAAGTGTGTTTTATAATACCCCCTTCACAAAATCTTCCATAGTATTCTTCCATGAAGCTCATTTTACACTGGTTTTAAAAGGGTAGCACTCTTAATAGATAACAAAACTGTGGTCCTCTCAGGTTTGGGATGAGAGTCGTGCGCCATATTGTGTCATATCAAAATAATGAATGTAGTATGGAAGAATATGTGGAGTGAAAGAGGAACACCCTCTTACAGGGAATGATGGTGGTACAAAATATTAGATATGATAAAACCCCTCTGTGACCACTAGGTAAGATTTTACCGTTGTAGAGCATTTCATACTGTTAAAAGTTTTATGAATAAAATTCAATAGACCCCCTCAGCTCTGACGTAATGTTGTCCCATTTCAGAACACATGTCATTCCCTAGAGTATGATTTATTTGTTTAAAGTTTGCGCTAGGTTGCACATGAGAATACACATGAATATGGATACAACTTAAACAAAGAATATTATTCTCAAGGGAATGACACAGGGTCTGAAATGGGACAACATTACGCCGAGCTGAGGAGGTCAATTAAAGATGATAAAACTGTAAATCTTTAAATTGTAGTTACCAGGACCAAGCAGCCGACACATGAGCTACAACAAGAAGAAAGCCTGTTCCAATTTTGAACACCACGAGGGGACACCACAAAACCTTGGAAATTCAGATGAGAAGGTTCCTGAAAATGGAGACATCATTCTGACAAATGTAGTAAGTTTTCAAGACTCTAAAAGAATTTAAGTCTGTTCTATGTTTTGTACTTGTAAAAAAGGCAAAGTCAAAAAATTTAAGTCTGGTTTTTTTTGGATGCTAAAAATGTGTAAAYCTGACTGCAATCTTGGCAATTGCTGTGGTGCACTCAGTTGGGATTTTCTTGCTTTTGAATTACTTGAACCTGCTCTCTTCTATGCTTTGTACTTGTAAAAAGGACAAAGTCAAAAAAAAAACATATAATAATTTTTTTATACTGTTTTTTAAAATACTTTTTAATTCAATAAATTTTAAAAAATATCAAAGGAATGACTTAACTGACCTTAAAATAATTAAAATGATAATGAAGTCAACAAAAATTTAACTATTTTAATGATTGATTTTAAGTACTATTTAAAGTAACATATTTTGAATTAACAACTCTAATAATGCCACAAACAGYGGGTCTTGATAAAAGTAAGAAATTGATTTTTGTCGAGGGAGAAAAACCAGAAACCGAAGAAAAACCCTCAAAGTGATCATAAACAGCCAAAGGAAAGCAGTACGCTCATTGACATCAGCTTATTTGCCTGTCCTCTTGTTGATAATGCAAAATAGCCAATCAGCGCACCAGAAATTTGTACTGCATACGTATATTATGGCAAAAAATAGAACTCTCCTGTAAATGTAGATGAGTTCCATGCCATACCATGGTGTGGCAGGGGTGTATGTACAGCTTGCCTCTCACTGCTGTGGTATCTGGGTTCGAGCCCAGGCTCAGACCAGATTGCACATGAGTTGAGTTTGTTAGATGTACTGTTCTGTCTTTGCCATTCAGGTTTTTCACTGGGTTCTCTGGTTCCTTCCCTCTGTGGAAGTGAACACATGTGTTGAGTGTTGTATGTCATAAATCATATATAGAATCTAGTTTTAGTGCATGTGGGAGGGAGTCTCATGGTAGAGCCAAGCTTTCAGTATGGCGAGGGGTAGTTGTAAAATATATGAATATATAATATATGCCCAATTTTCTTGCCTAAGTTGCTTTTATTTTGATTACTGACAATAAAAAATACCTATCTAACAAATAATTAAAGTTAAAAATTTAAAAGTAAAAAAATAAATTTGTTCATTTTTATTAATATTTGAAGCCCAAAGGACCCCGGTGTCATAGTCCACAGTTTCACAACTGTGTTCAAGTTTTTGAGAATTGCGCCAGCACTAGTTCAGAGTCTGAAGTTGAGGAAATGAAGTTTTTGGAGGTATGATGCTCATAAAAAAACAACTAAAATCTAAATATAATAAATTATAATTATAAATTGTAAGATTATTATGTATATGGCATGGCAAATTGTGAGAAAAGAGGTGGTTTGTTTTGGACAACTAAAAATTTTAGCTGTCAAAAACAAACCATCATTTTTTCTCACGATTTGCCAGGTTAGATGCCTTGATTTTAAAATAAATATTGTGAAAAAATCAAATCAAATTATTTAATACAATCCCATAATTTATTAAACATGATATGATAATGATTAATATTACAGTGTGGCTTACAAAAGTATGGCTGGCGATAAATGTATTCTTACACTTTTATGCGTTAGCTTTTGTATTTTAGATAAAGGCAGCTCGGTTTACCAAATTAGTTTACCATTTAAAAGCTCGTTTGGCAGCTGAAAGCCTGTGCATCTAATAGAAGTATATGAATACATTAAATGCTGCTGTAATTGAAATTAAAACACTATAATAAGCATATTAAAGACTGTCATGATGATTTTAAAACAATAAAGGTAATTAGCCTATCCATTTATCTAATAGGATGGATGTTCTACCCATATCTCTTCCATTTCTTTATACTCCTCCATTCTATTTTCCATTATCTTCTTGTTCATCCATTCATCTCTCCTTCCATCCATCCATTTGTACATTCTAAATGTAGCCATTAAACATGCTGTCTATAGTATCCCATCCATTTGTCCATCCATTTAAAAAAAAAACCGTCCTTTTTTCACGAGGGTAGCACTTAATAGCCAATGGCTAACAAACCTGTGGCCCTCATTCCATGATCAAATTGGAATTTAGGAGTTGATTTTTGCGGAGGGAGGAAAACCAGAGAACCCGGAAAATCCTCGAAGCACAGGAGAGAACCAACAAACAACTCTACTCATATACAACACCAAACCCAGCAGGACTCGAACTCGGGTCGCATTGATGAGAGGCGAGCACTCACACCGCTACGCCATCCACGGGTGCTTCCCTATCAGCTATCTAATTTCCTATTCATTTGTGGATTCAATTAGCCTTCAACATCTCATCCATAAAAAAATACAGTATATCCTATCCATCCATCTAATTTCCCATCTATTTKTCCATCCATTCAGACATTCATCCCATCCATTTGTCCTTCCATCCAGCCAATTAACATCCCATCCATTTGTCCATTTGTCCATTCATCCAGCCATCTAATTTTCTATACATTTGTCCTTCCATCCAGCCAACTGACATCCTGTTCATTTGTCCATCTATTCAGCCATCTAACATCTCATCCATTTTTTCATCCATTCAACCATCCARCATCCCATATATCCATCCACAACTCTACTTGTTTGTTAACTTCCTGATTATTATCCATAGAATGCCAGAACCGAAGATAAAGTTGACTATGAGGCACAAAAGAAACCTCCACTCTCCAAGAAGATTTCAAGTCTGAAAGAAAGTTTATCCAGACGTTCAGTGTTTAGTGATGAAAACCAAGATAAGGAAAAAGAAGGCATATCTACTGTAGCGTGGATGATTATCATAGGTGATACCATCCATAACATCAGTGATGGCCTAGCTATTGGTGCTGCATTCTCTGAGGGAGGTGCATCTGGTATCTCAGGAGGAATTAGTACATCAATAGCTGTCTTTTGCCATGAATTGCCTCATGAATTAGGTATTTGAACAAGTCATGTGTTAAATAATCAAACATCAAATGCTCAACATATAGTCGATGAAATGTTGATCTTGATGTTGGACTGTTTGAATGTGAAGATATGTTATTTTATTTCATGCAATAATCTACCAAGATATTCAGTCAGTAAATGTTATTCTTCCTAAACTATTTCGCAAGAAAGAATATGATATCATTATTAGAGCTTTTATTGTGATAGATTTCTGTGTCCAACTGCTCTCAAAAACCAATAATTAAAAATTTGTTCTCAATGAATTATCCTCCACCTCAATACTAGATAATAGTCCCCTTCACAGTTCGCTGCGCCATCTTGAAAGGTAGCTGTGCCTTTGCATTGAAGCGAGGCGAATGGTGAGCTTGCAATGATAGAGACGTGAATAATTATTGTCCAAGGTGTTAAAAATAGGTCTCTATCATTGCTCGCTCACCATTCCTCTCGCTTCTATGCAAAGGCACTTTCAAGATGGCACTGGGAACTGTGAAAAGGACTATTGGACAATTAGTCAATCCTGTCATGAAGAAAAAGTCAGAAAAGTCTTAAAATGATAGAATTTATTTTGGTCCCGGAAGTCACTATTCCATACTATTGACATCACAATTAAAAAGCCCTATTAGCTCTTGCAAGCCCTCGATTTTGTCCTAAGACTCCACTTTTTCCAGAATTCCAACTATCTTCAAGTATATTTTATTTAAGTGTTACTACCTCATCTACGAATAATTTTATTAACCAAACCTCCATTTTTTTCAACTTCAGGTGATTTTGCTGTGCTGCTTACAGCAGGCATGAGTGTCAAGAAAGCTCTTTTTGCAAACTTCTTATCAGCCTGTTCATGTTACATTGGCCTTGTCATTGGCATTTTGGTTGGACAACAGATAGAAATGAGGTTGTGGATTTTTGCCATTGCGGGAGGCATGTTTCTTTATGTCGCATTAGTGGATATGGTGAGTAGATTAATAATAATAATAATAATAATAATAATAATAATAATAATAATAATATAAAGAGGCTTGTAAAGCGCCTATACAAGCCAGTTCTATGCACTGTAAAAAATAATAAATAAATACAATACAAACATAGATTACAAATCATAAGCAAGTCTAAATAAATAAGTCTTAAGTTCAGTTTTAAAAGATTCAAGAGAGGTATGATTCAGATTTATCTAATGTACTTGGACTTTAAAAGCAAAAGATAAAAATGAAGACTAATACTAGTTTCTAGTTAATCTTAATTTGATTAAAAATGCTTAAACTTTATTCATAAGTGACTAACACACAGATCACATTAGGATTTAGGGCAGAAGTGGATGCAAGGGTAATTCCATGGTAGAACATCCCTTTTTGGAAGCCTTTCATGTTCTCTACGCCCAGCAGAATAAAATGGATTAATGCAATCCTTTTAGGGTTCTGATACTTTTAACCTGGTTTGATTCAAGCTTTCTTTCTTGTACCCCCTCATCTTTTAATCGGCACTCAAAGAAAACAAGGAATCTGGGTTTGATTCTACAATTTGATTGGTTCTCAAAGTCTAGGTGGCCCAGGTTATGGTAGTCACTGACAATGTAACTTGATTCCCCATCATAATTCCAAATAATTTTTTGAATTTTGTTTTCCACAGCTTCCAGACTTAATGCACAGCGAGTCTCTACAGACAGACACATGCATCACATTTTTGTTGCAGAACATTGGATTGATTCTGGGGATAACCATCATGCTTATCATTGGTTATTTTGAAGAAGCCCTCATGGCTGCTGTCAAGATATAGGATAAATGTTCTTTCGATCAATCAATGGAATATTTATCTTCCTTACATATATATACCTGTTTCTGTACACTAAATTTTGTCAACTGAAAACTACAAAGATAAGATACCACACATGCCACGAGGTATTAATTGTGATTTTAACAGTTACCAGTTATGCAGTTTCACCCCCAGTGAGCTTCATCGAGCTGCAACTTTTATCAAAAACATTTTTCTTGATTCTCTCAGATCTCAGCTTTGTAGCTCTTTTGGATGACTAACTTTATTGAAATGAGCATAAATAAATATAATAATTATAATACTCAATTGCGGGGCTAAAAATACTGACTGTTCATTTGCCAGCCATGATGTCACCCCAAATTAGTTTTTTATCTCAGTCATACCTTATTTCTGGCTCAATGTCACTGGTCAAAATGACTGGCAAGGCAAACATTTGACCCTCAAGACAAGTTCCAATTCTCGCCAGACATTAATTTGAAAAATCAACTGCTAAATTGTAATTCGATCTTTGGGCTTTCACCTTGGAGCCTAGCTCTGTTGTGATTGTCCCACGCTGTGATACAACAGCTAAAGTTAGTAGATTTTTTTAGATTTGATTAATGAATAACCATTATTTTTAGCCCTGTATTGTAGTCTACCTTAACTTATAGCATAATATACCAGTTGATTTGATATCTAGGCGCACAAAGCATTGTTTGTCACAGTGAAAATGTTCAAGTGTTTTCTATTATTTCTTGATAAAATGAAATATTTTCCACCAATGGCTACAATTTTCAGATATTTGGTAGATCTTTCCATGATGTGTTTTAGTTTTTTAGTTTTCATTTTTTCGAGCAGAAAACTTGGAATTAGGAAATCAAACAGAACGTTTGCTGATTGGTCAAATTGTTCTGCCTGATAGAATCAAGATCACCTGTTAGTCATAACAAGACTTAACAAAATCAATTTTTTATTGATCATTAATAAATGTTTGGAATCTGTACTGATGCACTTGAATTACACCTTTTGCTGTTCATTAA